TACAATAGAATACTGCTTTAGTTTCTGAATCGTTATTTATCGATATCCTACATGTTATAACATAAAGAAAGATGAAAATTTTAAGAAAAAGGAGGAGAAAGAAAAAAGCAAAAAAAAATGGAAACGATCTTATTTTCTAAATCTCGAACATTTCTTTTCTTTTTTTTCCTTCTTTTTTTTTGTACCGATTTTGTACCCGAAAAATATTTTTCTTTTTGTTAAATACTTTGTCATCCATTATCGGTCACATTTTTCTTTTTTCTTTCGAAACTATTCGAAAGATTTGATTGTGGTATTATGTCTCTATGTTAAATAATTTATTATCCATCTTTTTTGTTTTCTTTTTTTTTCTATCTTTCCTCTCCGAACGAAAAAAATTGAATGGAAAAAAGAAAAAGAAAAGAAATATATGAACGATAGAAACAGGTTATACTTGTATCAATTATTTCCTAGAAACTCATTTACATTTTCCTACGTATGTATGCATGATAATAGTCAATGAATGGAGTTTCCTGTTCGAGCGCGTAGAAATTTTTGCAACAACCCGACTCGAATGGAGTTCGTTCATAGTATTAACAGAGGCAGAACTAGGTGCTATCGAAACGATACGCAACATATTTTTGCATACTACTTGCCGGTTGATTGCCCCCCAAGCACGTTGATGACGTCAGTAACGTTCTCGATGACTCACATTATATACATGATATTGTCGGTTTACACGAATTCATTAAAAGCTCCACACACCTTTTCTCTTATATGTATACCTGTGCTGATTCTCTTATTACTTTTTTTCTTCTTTCTCTTTTCGCTTGCTTTCATAATTTCGATCTTTTAAAAAAATAATAAAATAAAAAAAGAACGAGATTTTTGTGTGTCACGTGTAAGTAGTGTCAATATGCAGCTTCCTCGAGTTTTTTTTTTTTTTTTTTTTTAATATTTGTTCACTTTTAGAATTTATGAATTTCTTTCGTTTCAAATTGGTCAAGCAGATATCTCCTTTATTTATAGAAATTTTTTGTCTTTTTTGTTCGTTTTTCTTTTTCTCTTTTTATTTAAGTTGAGTGAAGAAAAATTATCGTCTTATCAAGATTTTGTGTAAATTCTTTTTTCTTTTTCTTTCTGTTCACTTGTAAATCCTTTTTCTTCTTCTTCTTCTTCTAGTTTTTTTTTTTTTTTTTTTTTATTGGCGGAGAAATTATTTTTTTCTTCGCTTCCGAAATTTTGTTTTTTTAATTTTTCGTCATTTATAAGATTATATTGTTACAATAATATATATCTATATAAAAAGTGTTGCGATATTTTTTTCACTTTTTCCATTTTTATTTAAGCATACATTTTTAATAAATATTGTGTGAGAAACGTTAAAATGTAAGTACGTATGTAAATACATGATTATGCGAAAAGGAGACAATCGATTACGTTGGCATAATAAATTATCGGTTAAAATGACGTTTCTTGTCTCGGCTAGTAAACAAACGTGACAGAAACTTGTCTCGAATTTTTTAATATTTCTGAAACACCTCTCTCTCTCTCTCTCTCTCTCTAACTCTCTCTCTTTTTCTTTCTTTTCCTCTCCCTCTCTATCTCTCTCTCTCTCTCTCTCTCTCTCTCTCTCTCTCTCTCTCTCTTTCTCTCTCTCTCTCTCTCTCTTTCTCTCTCTCTCTCTCTCTCTCTCTCTCTCTCTCTCTCTCTCTCTCTTTCCTTCTCTCGCTGTGTCTGTCTGTCCCCTGGGGCTGTATTTAAATCAGACTCGAGACAACAAAAGATAAGGAGACGCTAAAAGAGGAATTCGTTGTGGTATCATTTGAAATATGTAAATGACCTGTTAACATTACTTTAGAGAATTTTGAATCATCGATCGATATAAAAACTTTTTGCAATCTATCTTTACGATGAATATTGATCCGTATTTACAATTAAGAGACGAAAAAGAAATAATAGAAAATTGAATTTTGCTATTATATTCTTTTTTATCACATTTTTGTATTAATATAACACAAGTTTTCATATCAATATAATGATATTTTAATATAATCAAAATATAATATGTACATAAATAAAGAATTAATGCTTTTATATTTTTGTTTAATACATAATGTGACCTTTTTAATATCAATAATAGATGCATACATAAAATATAAATTTCTAAGTAGAAAAAAAATTCGTAATAAAAAAATATCAATTGCTTTTTCTTTTTTCTTTTTCTTTTTTTTTTTTCCTTTTTTTTTGTTGTATATATATATATTATATTTATATATATTTATATATATATATTTATATATTTCAAATCCCTGAGCTCTATTTTACCAAAGGCGTTTTGGAAAATTCCACGAGATATTATGCGATTTAAATTACTCTCTTACGTACTTTCACACTAGTATATTTTTATTTCCACGCCTATCTTAATCATAAATTATAGATCCTAAATCATTTATCCTTCAACGAATTTATACCGTTGAAATTACCGGTTAATATTCTATCGGTAAATGTGTGCAAAGTATAATATATGTATAAAATAATATTCAATTCATGTGAGAGAGAAATAGATAATGAAAGATAAGAAGAAAACGATGGACAAGAAACATCGGTTCGTTCTTTTCGCGAAGAAGATAAATGCCAAGACGTAAATTGAAAGGATAAACATTTTCATTAATTTAGGCCACGTCTTCCTCATACATATGTACATAAATACATACACGAGTAAATACACGTATTTTATACACGCGCAATATATACCTACTCATATGTGAGTTCTGTGATTTCTTATTTTCTCTTTGAATCTTGTGACGAGCTCGATCGAAAGTTGAAACACAATTTCGCAAATAACGGTGATTCGATAACGATAATATATTACGGTAATAAAAAAAAATTCTTAAAAGAAAGTAATTAGTAATATCAATTAAACTCGTGTTCTCATAGAAATTTTAATTTCTATGTAAGTAATTTCTATGTAAATCAAAATGCAAATAATTTCTATGTAAATCAAAAATCAATAAATGTATTCTATGATCTCCAATAGTACCGTAATGATACAAAAAAAGTCCAAGGTCGTAATTTTTTTTAACGAAAATTAAGTAATCAATTATGTGAATAAATGAACAAATTAATCGAGCTCACTTATTTGATTATCATTTGTTTGATCTTAAATAAGAACAATCAATAAAAATATAATTATGAATAATTTTATAATAATAATTTAAAAAATCCAAGATGGCAATCAGATAGAACAAATTTTCTTTTATTATTATTATTATTATCATCATCATCATTATCATCTTTATCATAGGCATTGCTCTTTTTTTATCCTCTTAATTTTCGCAGGCAATGAGTAACAAAGAGGTACGGTTACACAATAAATGATTCATAAGCGTAAAAAGAGGTTCGAAAAGCGGGCTCCAATTTACAGCTTGTTAAACCATTTGAAATCCAACGGCAAACAGCTTAGTAATTAACACGATTTCATTCGAGCACGAAGATGTTTCGTCTTCGTTAAAAACTCTTAAACTTTTATGCCAATTCGTACAGAATCGCAGAACGAGTTTCTATTTTTATTATTCACTACCAATTCGGTTGTCATGGTATTTTTGTCGTATCTCATCGCGTATGAAATATTACGTAAACACGGTTTATTGATCAGTCTCTTCTTTTTTATCATTTAATTTAATTCCAAATGTAAATCTAAAATCTGCCTTGTATTCGCGAAAGAAAAAAAAAAAAGAAAAAAAAAAAAGATACACGTGTATACACAGATGTGTGTATAAAAATATATGCATAACAAGTTTTGTCCAAAAATATCCAAAGAAAATATGAGTTTTTCAAGAACGAATTAAAAATGGCGGTTTATCCGTCGTTCACCGACTGTCATGGCAGACGTTGTATGCACGAGAAATAGAGAGAGAGAGAGAGAGAGAGATCACCGTATCGAACCTTTTTCTTTTTATTTCTTCGTAATGAAAACAAAGCTACACATAGAAATTAAATATTTACAAGGATTATGTTAGCACCGATATACTTTGAACTCGCCTGATGACATAGCAAGTCGATAGTTCGTGCTTTATTATGTAACAACACATCACGAGTAAAGAGCAACGTACTTACAAGGATGCTATCACGATAAAGAAATCAAATTTTTATTACATTTCTAACGTTGCACGTTCTGTTTTTTCTCTTTAATTTTTTTTTCCAAAAATTTTTTTTTTATCTTTTCACGGAGTAATTTAGAATCTTAAAGAGGAAGACACGTGTACCAAGGTTACAAATAACGATAACACGAAGCAGGAAAAGAACACCGAGAGAGGTGTCAATTGCAAATATGTTTGAGTAAATAAATGTCTCTAAAATGATTCATTATTGCCTTATCTCTCTCTCTCTCTCTCTCTCTCTCTCTCTCTCTCTTTCTTTTTTCTTTAACTTGTCTCCTTAAAATTTTGTCATGCTGATACCACATAGTTATTTTTCTCTTACTCCATAAATCATATTAACAACTTTCTTTCTGTAATGTAATAATACTTAGAGATTTATAAATCTAACGTAGCCAGAGTGATTTTCCAACAAAATAAGATGGTATATTCCATAAAACAAAAAAAGAAAGTGAAAAAGAATAAGAAGAAGAAGAAGAAGAATAATAATAAGAAGAAGACGAACAAAAAGAAGATAACCATGAATATCAACTCATTCGTTTCTTTGCTATCTTTTAAATTCAAGTAAATTGAATGGTTCTCAGTTATAAAGTCATTCTACTATGATTTGTTACCAACGCTAAGGAGCGCAAGATTAGTGTTGATACAAACTTAACGATCTTTTTCTCTTTTTCATTTCTCTATCTCATTTCTCTATCACATTTCTCTATCTCATCGTCATCTTTCTCCCTCTTTCTCTCTCTCTCTCTCTCTCTCTCTTTCTCTTTCTCTTTCTCTCTCTCTTTCTCTCTCTCTACTACAATACCGTATTCTTTTTCTCTTTCTCCTTCTCTTTCTCTGAGACTCAATCGGTATCGTCTCTTCTCTTCTTTTCTCTCTCTCTTGAGAAGAACATTTTCGAAGAAATTAGAGTGGGGATCAGGTCCCGTCGTATATAAGCATTGTGCACTCTCGTCTCGCATTGGTTGTTCCCCAATCCGGGCAACTTTTCCAAGACTTGGCAGACCGTACACCGTAAGTTTCTACTCATCTAAATATCTGAAACTGATAGTGATAGTTAATTAAACAATGTTTTTATAGGATTAAAATAGTTACCACTAGTGTACGTGAGTGGGTATATGTGTGTGTGTGTCGTTAAGTGTTATTTTTCATTTTTGTTCTTCTTCTTGTTTTTTCTCTTCTTCTTCTTCTTCTACTTCTTCTTCTTCTTCTTTTACGAGCGAACAAGCGTCAAATAGTTTGAGCGAATAAATAATTTCTCTTTCCTTAAAACAAACAACGCCTTTTCATTTTTCTTTTTTGAATTCGTCCAATTGTACTATTAATATATTATGAAATATGTATGTATGTATGTACGTATATATATATATATATGTTAATTACTAAAAATTTAAGAAAAGATGATATATATATATATATATACCGTCCAAGTAAACCATGTCAGTGCCGTCTTAACTATTAAATAAAAAAAAAAAGAGAAAAATTAAAAAAGAAAAAAAGGACGTTTAAATAAGAGGCAGGGGGATGAAATATCATCCGTCGTTGATTCAACTTTCAATTATTATTATAAATTTGATCTAATTATTGATTCTACGATATTTTAAAAGACTTAGTTGAAAGATTTCTAAACGAAACAACGAATGTTAGGGTGAAATTTTTAAGCGAATGCAAAATTCTTTCACATTGATACAATTGTAGAATCAAAGAACTGACGATAGACAGATGATCGCGTGATTTTCCTCCCCTTCCACCCTGAGAATATCTGCTCCCTTCTCTCTCTCTCTCTCTCACTCTCTCTCTCTTTCTCTATCTCTCTCTATCTATCTATCTATCTATCTGTCTATTTTTTTTTCTATCTCTATTTCTAAATTTGAAAGTGAATGCAAAATTCTTTGGAGAGCCAATTGCTGATCCGAGGACAGACAAATGATCACGTAATTTTTCCCCTCTTCCACCCTGAAGACATCTCTCTGTTTCTCTTTCTTTCTTTCTCTCTTTCTTTCTCTCGTCGTATTGCTTCATATTTAGAGTCTTCAAGATTTAACCGGTTAAAACCGCTCTGAAAGATCGTAATATTTATACTACAGAGGGCTGGAACAGCCCGGACAAGCGGCTCGTTTAATCGAGCCACGTGCTCCTGTAAACCGAAGAACCAACAGTAACGTCGAACATAGATATTAATTAATTGTTTGTGCGTTCTCTTGATGCCTTTTCTTCCTCCTCCTCCTCCTCCTCCTCTTCTTCTTCTTCTTCTTCTTCTTATTCCTCTTCTTCTTCTTCTTCTTCTTCTTCTTTATCCTCTTCTTCTTATTCCTCTTCTTCTTATTCCTCTTCTTCTTCTTCTTTATCATCTTCTTGATTTTCATTCTTCCTCTTATATTCGTTAGACAGAAAAAAAGAAAGAGAAAAAGAAGAACATCAAATCATTGGAACAAATCTTTCTTAGAAGTCGTCGACGATCATCAAACAAAATGTGAATTCTCAAAAATGCACTGTCTAATGTTGAACATATATTATTTCCTTTTTTTTTTGTTATTTGCTCTTCATACATGTCATATAAATAACTTTGATGACGTCTCTACTAGTTTTAGCAAGAGAAAAGGAGAGAAAGAGAAAGAGAAAGAGGGAGAGAAAGAGAGAGAGACAGAGAGAGAGAGAGACGGAAAGAGAGAGATCTATACGTAAATACATGATAGCAATTTTATAACAAACATGACGTCGAGAAATAGAGTATCCTTCTCGAAATCAATCAGTTCAATTATCGCTTTTACATAAGTACAATTTTATATAAATTTTTCATAATACGTGTGATCTTCTTTATTACAGATTCAAACCTTTTTCTTTTTTATTATATGCGAAAGATACTTTTTTCATAAATATCGGATTGATTCATTTCTCATAAATCGATGATTAAAAATACTGAAGTATTGCAAATGATTTCCTTGATTTAGTAAATTTAATTTAATAGCATTTATAAAATAAAATAAAATTTATGGTGTACAGTAATGGAATTAATAAAATATGTTCTATTGATTTGTTTTGAGCTGCAAGTATGTTAATAGTCATTTTTATAATCACTATATCGTAATAGACCAGATCCTATATATAAAATAATAACATATAACATAGTATATATATATATATCTACACATAAGTAATAATGACATATACAATAATAAAATGATCGATTAATTAAAACAATTATATATATACAATTATATTATTAAAGTTATTAAACAATTATATATAAATATATGTATATAAATAACAATATAATTAAAACCGGTTTTTTATAAGATGTTTCTTTCAAATAAATATTTCAAATACGAATATACGTCATCACAAGATATATACCAGATCATTTATTCTTTCATTGCTACCGGCAATGCAACGTCAAAAATATCTCTTAATCGTCCTTCGTTATTGCAAGGAGGTAATCCTTGCTCCAGTCAAACAAGGTCGACCTATTCTACGTATACATATATATATATATATATACACATGTATACTTTATATAGATAGAATTTTTCTTCCTCGAGGGACATCGCGTTTTCATTTTTTTTTCTTTTTCTTGTTCCTTTTCTTCTTTTTCTTATTCCATATCGTTCCACCATATCGCTTTTCGTTGGTCAAGGTCAGTCGTTCGACCTTACTAATCGTGTTTTATTTCATCGACAAAAAGAGAATAAATATTATCTTCGTGTATCTATTTTGGTAACTCTCCTTTGCATTTTAGAATTCTTTGTTCTACATGGGCATATGTACTTCACTCGAAGAACATATCTGAGTCATCAATGATAAAGTATGACTCGGTGATAATGAAAGAAAGAAAGAGAGTGATAATATTTCAATGAGAACATTATAAACTTTCCAATCTCATTTTTCATCTATTTCTAAATTTTCTTTTTAATTTATCTTACTCTTAATGATAGTTTCATAATTATAATTATTTATTCTAACAAAAAGGAAAGGTCTGTACGAATTGTACTATAAAAAAAATATATACATAAAAAGTGTTAGATGAATTTATTCATATATTATGTAAATATTTATTTGATGAATAATTCGAGCAATTATAAAAAATTTCTTAATTATACGTAACAATTATATGTGAGAATTATTTACAAATAATTTTAATTGTTAAATATATTATTTGTTAAAAGTGTGATGTGAAATTTTATAAGTAACATATTTCACATATTAATTATAGTTATTTGACGTTTTAAATCATTCTTACATATTATTTAAATATACAGTCATATAGGTTCCAAATATTTTTTTTTATAATTAAATTCACATTAGTTTCTGTTATATATCCATATCTTCTTCTTCTAATCAATGATTACAATCAATAAAGAATATAGAGATATATAACTTTCAATAATAATTTTTATGTATCCAAGTAAATTAATTTCTGTTATAATACGTATTTATATATTCTTTTTTTGTTTATAAATAATATAGATAAATATCTAATTAAAAAAATGTCTACTTAATTTCTACATATCAGTGATATCTCCTTGTAATTAATTCTAATTTTACGTACGATAGAAAATGGAAAATATTAAAAATTAATTTCATGTATATACTTAAATAAATTTTTTCTACTACAATAAAGTCTTTATAAATTTTCAGGTTTTCTATTTTTTTTCTTTCTTTAATTAATTCTAATCTTATTAGAAAACACAAAACTTGAAAAAAATAACTTTTATGCATAGATATTACATACGTAAATTAATTTCAACTAGATATATTCATGTATTTTGCTTTTTTCTAATCATTCATAATTTTAAAATAAATAAAAAACAAGGAGCTCTGTCAGTTGAAAAAATAATTTTTATTCGTAAACAGAGTAAACAAATGGTGTAAAAATCAAGGAGACTGGAATATCGTTAGGATGTTGCATTATGAGAAAAAGATATATAAAACAGTGAATACGGTAACAAGTAGTATATCGTGTTAGTCAATAGGAGGTGGCAGGTAGTTTTTAGTTGCTTCAACGATCTGACGCTCACTTCATCTCCACGCCCCGTCTAATACGGTTCAAACGTCCTTTAAAAATATATATCGTGATATTATTAACGTTTCCTACATATTGTTCCGTTCAATCGATTATAAATTCGAAATTAATTATCTTCATCGAGTTTTTTTGTTATATATATTACGCGAGCTTTTTTTTTTAAGTGATCTTATCTCACGTGTTTCAACGGATTATCGAGCTGCATAAAAAAAAGAAGGAAGACAAACGAGTGTGCATTTTATTTATTTATTAGGATTATTAGAGAGAGAGAGAGAAAGAGAGAGAGAAAGAGAGAGAGAGAGAGGGAGAGAGAGAGAGGGAGAGAGAGAGAGAAAGAGAGAGAGAGAGAGGGAGAGAGAGAGAGAGATTGTAAGTAAAAATTTTATCTACATTTACTTTTTTTGCTTTTTCTTTTTGGAATAAATGACAAATATTGTCTTAAAAAAAAAAGTAGACAAAGTCCTGAGTACGTTATTATAATTTATAAATATATACAACGCATATCTACATATATTTCATACATCATAAGACAAATAGAAAGAAAAATAAAGATAGAAATTGTATAATAATTAAAAATTTCGTCATCAATAAGATATATATATGTCTATGTGTGTGTGTATATATGTGTACATATATATAATATATTATATATGTATATTATTTTATATTTAAATACAAAACATTAGATTATATAATAATTTTTAACTCCAAAAATATAATTTTTAACCAAAAAAAATCCAAAAATTGCTGATCGATCTAATACTAGTATAGATATAAAAAAATACATATATACATATTTAATATATTAAATATAATACATATATTCGTAATATATAAATTTGAACGCAGAGTAGCCGTCATAGTCGTTGTAGGAGCAAAATGGTCCGCAAACGGTGTTTTGCACGATGATTCCTCTAACGAGTGTGATGACACCGCTTCTCAAGCGCTAATACACACCGACTATCTGCGACAGTACAACTCTCCCCCCGACAAATTTGTCGGCAATGAGACTGATTATTATGTCCTTGCGAGACTGACGATAATTACTAAACGCTTTACTTACAACTCCGTCGACGTCGTCGGCTCTGTGCTCCGCGCCACGATTAAAACTTTCGAGAGTATCGTATCCAACTTGACCTCTTTTCAACACTCTCGTAATTCCGTCGATCGATCGTTTCGAACTCGATGGAAGAAAAAAAAATGAAGAAAAAAAGAATTTATCGGAAAAATGATGACAAATTGTAATTGTAAAGAAAAAAAAAAACGATGACAAACTGTAAAACAAAAGAAAAGATAAAGAAAAAAAAACGGGGAAAAGAGAAATCGATATAGTCTCGAATTCTCTTTATCTATTTTTTTATTTTTTATTATTTTTTTTATTTTTTTTTTAATATCGATAATCAAATTTTTGAAATGATAAAATGAAAGATATTTATTAAACGTGAGTTCGAATATCGTATGAATTAATTTTCCTTTCTACAACTGTTTACGATGTTTTTCTCAGCTTTTTTATCTTTTCTTTTTTTTTTTTTTTTGAATTTTTACAAGATCGACATTCCACGTTTACACCGCGCAGATTAGTATAACAAGCTCATTATAATATTAGTATAAGATCGAATACACGCATAGATACATGTATGTATAAATACATATCTACAATACATATAGATGAATATGGATTTGTGCATAATGCATCCATACATAATTACAATTCGAAAGTCAATAATACATGATCATTCTGAAACAGGTTATTTTACGTTGTATACCTTCGTTTATATTAAGCAATAAATTCATTCGAAAAGTTGAAAATTAGAAAAAAAAATTATTCGAGATTATAATAATTAATTTATTTTCTCTTAAAAAAAGTTCCTGTTTGTATTTACCCGACACATTTTCATTTGATTTATATTATAGAATTGATTAGAAAGAAAAAATGTTACGTATCAAAACGTTTTAGAAAAAGCAAATTCAGTATTGTTATTTAATACGATGTGTATGTGTGTGTGTGTGTATGCCGCACCTGTGCAGGGACAAATTATGAATAGTAATTGGATTCGACCGACCGTTGAACTCGATTCCACTATGGATAATTGACGATTCAACCGGTGCAATTAACGGCCTCGTGCGACGACCCCGCACTGAGCCGTATTTCCATCTTCGTAATACCCCCTTTTATTCTATAGATCAACGATCAAATTTAGATTAATCACCTTTATCTATCTTTTTTCTTTTTTTTTTTTTTTTCATTTTTTCTCTTCGTCGTAATCAATCATCGAGAATCAACATTTAACTGCATTGATTAAACGTTTTGTAAACATTTGATAAAAATAAAAAAATATCAAGGAATTTCTATTGAGAGAAAAAAATTATTTTCTCGTGATACAAAATAAATAAAAAATTTATAAAAAATTAAAATATTCAACGGCCGAGGAATTAATAAAAATTATTGGAGTTTCGTAATCACAATGGAACTCTAGAAGTGTTTAACATTTTCTTCGTTCCATAGATTAACGATCACTTTTCAGGTCGATTGCTTTTATACATATCCATATATCTATTTTCTCTTATCTCTGAACTTTATCATAACTTCATCTATTTCTGAACTTTATCATAAGAAATCAATTTCATTAATAAACATTTTCTATATTATTATCTGTGATTGAAACAACAACATCAAAAAATTCATATTTTGTAATGAAAAGAAAAAAACATTAGAAGAAAAGATTTTATTCCTCTTGAGAAAAATTAGATAAAAAATGTAATTGATAAACATTTCCTGGATATTTATATAAAACTTTATAAAAATAAACATATATATATATATATATATAAATATATATATATATATATATATATATATATCTATTTATAATTTCTAATCGAAGAAATTAAACTAAGGATTAAAAGAAAAATTTGAAAGAAATAAATAAAATAAAAAAAAAAATTAATGTAAAATAAAAACCGAGCGATCGACAAAATGAACGGAAATTACTGTACTTCCTTAAGCAAGATGTAACTCGATGTAATATTAAATACAATCGCGAGGTACATATCAAGTTTCGCGGAAGAAGTGGCTGCAAAATGGCGCGCATGATGTCGGTCTGTTAGATAGTATTTAGCGCAGGATATCCGTTAATGTTCAGTAATGCTCACTCGTTTTCTAGAACGCGTCTTAAACCTAACACGCTTGCTAGTCAATTACATTCTTCAAACTATGTAACTCGAGTTAGGATTCCTCGAAAGATAATTATATATTTTTTGCACACTTTGTTTTTCTTTTTTCTTTTTTCTTACAAATTACCGTCATTATCTCATTTATTCTTACTCGTGTATTATTCCTTTCTTTTTCTTTCTTTTTTTTCATACACATACACATACACATACGTACCTATGTACATACTTTTGATAATAATGAACGATTAAGAAAAATTGAAAGATATCATAAATCTTATTATTGTAGTATATTATTATATGTATAATTAATGTACAATGTAGACGAAAAGTTCCTAAATGAAATTAAAAAATCAGCTACTCTTTTCTTCTAGATCTTTTACACTTACTCTTTTCTAACATTGTAAAACTACATTTTTTTCAATCTGAAAAGAAAAAATTAGCCTGAAAAGATTCGAAAAAGAGTAATTGATTTTTAAAATCATTTAAGGAACTTTTGACCCAACTTTTTTTTCTCTTACCAATTACATTTATTATTTCATTTATTTATCTATTTTTTTTTATTGTTTTTACTTTGTTTTTTAATTATATATGATTTTCTCGACAATATCAATGATTAATAAATTAGAAGATATAAATATTATTATTATTATACAACGTTCTTCTTCTTAGATTGAATTAGGTCTAAATATCGATAAAATGTAGAAATTGTATATATTTCGTATAAAATTGTTCATTAATATCGAATTTTAACAAAGGGGTGTATTTTTATGAACGGTCAAATTCTATATTATGAAAACTACCCTTCAATGACCGTGTGGCCTAACGGATAAGGCGTCGGACTTCGGATCCGAAGATTGCAGGTTCGAGTCCTGTCACGGTCGAAAATTCATTTTTTTTTCTTTTCTTTTTCTCAGCAATTTATATCTCCATACTTCAAAATTCTTTGACATTTTATTAACGAACCTTTTTTGCTCCTTCTATTACATTCTTTCCGCTCGTCTTTCTCAATAATCACAAATAATATATCCTAATTTCAATGTTTTTTCAATTCGATTAGAGAAGAAAATTTCTTAAGAATTTTTTTAGATTTTATTAAATATACACCTTTGATATTTTTGCAACGAAATATCTTTTTTCTTTCGTTTCTCTTTAAATTTATCTATACATAACAATGTTATTATATAAATTCACCTTTTATATTATATACGTTTCGAAAAAAAATCTTTTGAAAAAATAATCGTATCGGTCAATTTAATTAATTATTATTATATGTATATGTTAGATCATTAGATCATCAATAGAACGTTCTAATGATCTGTTTTTTTCCATTAAGATTTATGGATTTTATATTTTGTTTTTCTTCACTCGAAATAGTTAATAATAGACTTGCTTTATCGATCTCCAGGTGACTCGATTTTGCCTGAAAATAACATGCCTATTTCAAGGTTTATGAAGTTTCATTCGTAACGATTGGCTGATCACAAAGATGATCGAGAAAATTGCGCGTGAAATGGATCGTTATATTGATACTACTTCTCCATTGTACTATATTTTTATGTTGATGAACCGTGAGAAAATACACAAAATGATTGAAAAAAAAGAATAAAAAAAAAAAATAATAATAATAATATCAATCGTTGCATCCCAAATATTCGTTTGATAATGTTCGATCAATTATACATAATTAGTCAAAAACATATAAATTATGAATTAAAGTCAATAATTTAATGAAATGTAAAAATTGTTATCACATTGTTATTTTTTTTGTATGTATATTTTTTTATTATTCTCTCTCTCTCTCTCTCTCTCTCTCTCTCTCTCTCTCTCTCCTCTCTCTCGTTGTTCACCCTTGATCTTATATTTTTCTTGTTTTTTCTTTCTTTTTTTTATCTATTTTTTTTTTCTTTGGTCATTATTTATTATTTCTAGGAAATAACTATACTCGCGTCGCCAGATAATTTATTATTATCACTTCGTAAGAGCGAAAAGTTTAAAATCGAGTATTTAGTATTCGCATGTAAGTGAATTCGAATTAGGTCCCGCTTATAAATCGTTTACTACAAACTGCCTTCATTATCCTCTCCGATCATCGGGGAAGTTGCAAATCGTTGTTCTTTAGAACGTTGCATCCCACGCTTGCTATCAGTACCATTACAAATTGACCCTGCTTAACCCTCTTGTATTGATTTAATACGTACCACAAGGCATATTATAGTCTTTCGCGTCGACATATAAAATTGACTATTATTCATTTATTGAAAAAAATATCTATCAGTTTTTTTCCTTCTCATTTCATATATATATATATATATATATATATATATATATCTTAACCCATGTATTGTATATTATGCATTTGCGTTAAAAAAAAATATGTTTTGAATATTTTAAAAATAATTATTATTTTGACATATTATAATATATTAAAATAATATAATATCAAATATTTAAAATATATCAAGATTTAAATATATTAAATATTTTAACATATACATATAAAACCTATTTTATCATATATACCATATAACATATTAAACATTTTTAATATAATCGTTTAACATCTTTAACATACTCATTTGCAATGAGATAAAAAGAAAAAGTCTTCGATATTTTTCAATAAACAATAATCTTATTAATAAATCTTAAAATATAAAAAATATGTGTTAATTATTTTTATTTATTAATATCATTTTATTATTAATTGTGTCATTAATATACTTTTTTTTATATAGCTCGCGAGTGAGCGCAGAATCTAGCCCCGCCGACGAACAGCAGCAGCAGATCAGCGCAGATTCAGCAGGAAGACTTCACCTAGAGTTCAAGGTCCACTTAATCGTCATCGTCAACAAAATATCTAACAAACTTCACTATCGTACACGAAGACACTGCTATATCTGATAAATTTACCAAGCCAGATTCACTCAACTGCACGGACATCGTAGAATGGTAGAAGGTGAACCCGACTCAAAGCACAACGATAGTAAGTCCTTTTGTCTTGTTATTGTTATAAACAAATTATAAATGATAAATCGTTCGAACTGATTTATATAAATATGATCAGGATTCTAAAAATGTTTGTTTGAAAACAAATCTATTTATTATAATAAATAAAAAGAGATAGATAGATAGATAGATAAATAGATAGATAGATAACGATAGAAAGAGAGGGAGAAAAAATAGTAAGTAAAAATTTCGTCGTTGTGTTTTCAACTTTTCGATTTTCTTCATTTTATTTTTTTCTTAAAATAAATGAAACATATAATTTCAAAATATAAGAAAGTATTTATAACGTTCGAGCACACTCACACTTTTTTTTTAATATATTTAATATATACAGGATGAGCCAAAAATTCCTTGACAAGTTTTAAAATCGAATATACCTTTTCGAGACTCTTCAGACTTATCGTTTTACAATCTGGAAATTTTTTAAATGATTTAGGAACATTTGGCTCATCTAGGTATCTTTGAAACATCCTGATTTGATCGTTCTCATTTAATATCTTTTTTTTTTACAGAGTGTGATGTAAAAGACGAGCGCCTAAACGGTTGTGGTTCCAAGGAACTTGAACTTGCCCGTAAGCATAATCCTAAGTACATTTTAAAGTAAATAACAGGATATTAAATTATATTTCGAAATGTATCTTGATTAAAATATTTTGTTTAAATTTGGATACATCCGATAAAAGTCGACAAAAACCCTAATGATTTTTATTCGATCAATTATTTATCATTTTAATGTTATTCATTTTTTTATTTCTTATTTATATTCTTTTTTTTATTTTTTTTGTAGGAATCGGGCCCAAGGAAAAGAACCTAGATCCAGAGAAAGGATCCTGCATTAAAGCCGATTTCGAAAAGGCCATCGAACTTACTGGTAAGTATCGATGAAAAAAAAAAAATAAAAACAAATACAAATAAATGAGTAAAGAAATAAAAAAAAATAAATTAACTGCTCTAAAACATGAAAACGTGAATGGACAAAAAATGTAAAAAAAAATGAATGAAACTTTTAAAAAAATTTTTACTCAAAATGGAAGAAAATTTTGTTCAATTGTGTTTAAAAAAATGTTTAGAGAATAAAAGGAAAAGAAAAAAAAGAAAATTCAATCTCATTAAAAAAATTGTTAACAGAGTATGGCAAGTTTCATTACTTCCTGCTCACGGTATGTGGCTTCGTCAGTACCAGTGAGGAGATGGACGTGATCTCCATGTCTTTCATTCTACCAAGTGCACAATGTGATCTAAAACTTGATACCCAAGCTAAGGGATGGCTCAACTCCATCATCTTCATTGGCATGATGGCCGGCGCGTACGCCTGGGGCTCCATTGCGGATGCTTTGGGTCGTCGCAAGGTCCTCATTGCCATTTCCTTTATGAACGCCCTTTGCATCGTTGCCTCCAGCTTTAGCCAGTCTTACGAACTCTTCATGTTCTTCCGTTTCCTAAATGGTGCCGCGTAAGTTATAACATCTTTATTCAAATTCACAAATTCGTTTTACATATAACAATTTTCTATTGTTTTAATTTCAATGATTATGCACAGAATAGACCAAGAGTTCCTAAATGAATTATAAATATCAATTGAATGTTTTCCAAGATTTTTCATAGATTTGAAGTTAGGTTCGTAGTTTTGTAAATTAAATTTGTAATGGTAGAATTGTAATTTTGTAATTTACAAAAAGAAAATCAGTCTGAAAAGTCTCGAGAAAGTGTAATTGATTTTTAAAAATCTATCTAGAAATTTTCATGCTCGCTTAAGGATTTTTGATCTATCCTATATTAATATCATCGGAGATATTGTAGGATTGTTAAATTAAATTAAAATGTGTGTGTGTGTGTGTGCGTATGTGTATATGCATCGAGTTGCATCTGAGTTAAGAAAATCCCTATATTACTTATTGGCCAACTTAATATAGATATATAGAAAATAAAAAAAAAAGAAGAAAACAACAGAAATCTGTTTTAAAATCCTGAAAAATCTCTATTTAAAATTTGAAATTATTCAATTGATATGACAATTTTTCTCTCTCTTTCTCTCCCTCTTTTTTAGACTCGGAGGAAGTGGTCCGGTCATCTGGTCGTATTTCGCCGAGTTCCAACCAAAATCAAAACGAGGCTCCATGCTTTCGTTCATGGCAGCTTTTTGGACACTCGGAAATCTCTTCGTTGCTGGTAAGATCCATACTACAAAGTCATTAAAAAAAAAGAGAGAGAAAAAACAATAAAAGAGAGAAAGAGCATAATTAATTATTGTTCCTTTTTTCTTATCCTTTTTATTTCCTTTCTTAATTAAGGACTGGCATGGTTGATCATCCCTCAGGACATCGGTATTACAAGTGCATCATTCACATATAACTCTTGGAGAATCTTCCTGCTAATCTGCGCTGCTCCGTCGTTCATCGTAGCGGGGTTACTTCTGCTGCTCCCAGAATCCCCCAAATATCTTCTATCATGCGGAAGATATCAAGAAGCTCTTGATATCTTCCGTGGTATCTACGCCATTAACACTGGCAGATCTCGCGACAGTTATACGGTAAGCCAATTTTTTTTTCTTTTTTTTTCCTTCGATTCATATACAAAACATACAGTTTGTCACATTTTTTATATATATATAATATACAATTTGTCACATTTTTTATATGTATATAAAAAATATACAATTTGTCACATTTACATATATATATATATATATATATATATATATATATATATAATAATAATAATAATAATAATTTTTTAAATAATAAATTTATATATATTTATATACGCAAATACACTGTGCAACATTTTATATATAATATAAAAGAAAATACACTTAGTCATATTTTTAATAAAAAATATATATGTATGTATATATTTTTTTTGTCACATTTTATATAAAAACATAGATCATGTTATATTGTATACTTTGTTTTCTTTCACTAATTCTAATTTTATCACTGTTTCTGTCTCTCTTTCTTCATAGGTGCTATAATTTTTGATTGTGAAAAAGAAAAAAAGAAAAAAAAACATTAATTTTTCTCAGGTAAAAGAACTGATCCTCGATGACTTCCAAGAACCAGAGCCTGTCAAGGCCAGCATCGAGGAAAAGAGTAAATGCAAGATGATGCTCGGTGACATCCTGGATAACAGCCGTCAATTATTTGTCTCACCGATACTTCGTTTCACCGTCGTCTCCATCATTATAAACTTCACCTTCCATATCGGTTATTATGGCTTAATGATGTGGTTCCCGGAGTTGTTCAATCGATTCGACGAATTTCATCGTGATCATCCGAACCAATCAACGTCGATATGTGAGGTCACCGATTACGTTGTTAACAAGGGCTCACATCGTATTGAAAATATTTGCAATGATAAAATCGGTTCTTCCGTTTTTATGGAGTCACTTATTACCGTGGCTTCGGCTATACCGGCAAATATCATTGCTGTTCTGGGAATGGATCGTCTTGGTCGCAAATTTTTCCTTGGTAAGTGCTAAAAATCAAATTTGTTTTGTTCTTTTTTTTTTCATTGAGAAAATACAAGTAGACCGAAAGTGTTCTCAGACGATTTTAAAAATCCAAATTACCCTTTTCGGAGACTTCGTAGGCTAATTATTAATTTGTTTTTTTTTTTCTTTTTTTTTCACAAATTGTAAAACTTAAGTACGGACCCAGGAGAAAATGTATCGAACAAAATTTATAATTAATTAATTTTTAAAATCACTTAGAGAATACTTTTGATCCGCCCTGTATACGTGGAAGTTCCTTTTCTTTTTTTTTTTTAAATAATTTGTTTTCCTTCTTTATTTTTCCACCAGTGTTCAGTACTCTCTCGTCGGGGCTCTGTTCGATCGGATTGTACTTCGTGTACAACAAATATCACAATCTCATCGTCTCGGCCTTCTTCAGCGGTGTGATCAGTTGCGGTAACGCTGCATTAGACTGTCTGATCACCGAAGTCTTTCCAACTCATTTACGTGCAACCGGTATCGCAATATCGATGGTGGCTGCACGTCTCGGTGGTATTATCGGTAATATCGTCATAGCACAACTATTGGACATGTATTGTCCAGCACCCACATTCATCGTTGCTGGTCTGTTGATCGGTAAGCCCTATCTTTTTCTTATTGTCGTTATCTTTTTATTTAGTTTTTTTTCTTTATCTTAAAGTTAATATACAGGATGGGGCAAAAGTTTTCGGGTGATCTTAAAAATCAGAGATCTTTTGAGCTAATGTTTTTTCTTTTTTGTTTTTCTCGAACTTTAAAATTACAAGCGTAACTTATGAAATTATGAATCTTTACTATAAGCCCATAAAAAACGAATCTTTAATATCATCCAAAAACTTTTGGGGTCCATTCGAAAACTTTTTATCTGTATCACTTTTTCTCATAAAATCTGAAAATTTAATTTCATCTTGTTCTTTTTTCTTTTTTTCATTTTTCAGGTGGCGGTTTACTGTGCCTATTTTTACCAAACACAACTCGCGAACCACTTTCTTGACATTGGCTAAAAAAATCGACGTTGAGTTCCTCGACGAGTCCTGTACAGTCTGTCTCACATGCATTTTCTTTCGTTGCAATACTTTTTGATATTTTTCGTTATCACAAATTATATACGAGTTATAATACGTATACCAATATTTTATCATATTATTAATAATATTTTCCTTGCATAAGGAACGTACACAGAAAAAGAAAAAAAGAAAGAAAAATAGAAAAAGATAAAAAACCCAAAAAAGACGACAAAACATTTATTTAAGTAATATAATTAAGTAGGACGGATATAGGATGAAATGGTAGGAGAGTTCGTTTCACGAAAAAAGTATTCGCAAGTATTACTTATACGTCTATTATATATACGTTTAGAAAGAAATTGAGACGACAGGCTCGACTTCTAATTTATATTATTATTTAATTAGAAGAAAAGGAAAACAGTATCTTTTCGTCATCCTTCAAAAACCTTTTCTAATTTCATTATTCGTACAGGTTGAGTAAGAAATTCCTGGATGACTTGAAAAAAAAAATATATATATATGTATCAATTACTCTTCTTTTGAGATTTTTTGAACTAATTTTATTATTTTTGTTTTTTTTTGTTCGGATAACAAAACTGTTTCGTAAAATTAGAAGCCTAATTACCTAAGCCCGAAGTGTCACGAAAAAGTGTAATCGATTTTATTTTTTTTAAATCATCTAAAAACTTTTGATCCACCTTGTATAATTTAATACTAAAAAAGCAAAGGTAAATAAAATTAATTGAAAAGTTTCACTCTATAAAAGGTACAAATACAAGAAGTGTTTATGTTAAGAGCATCGATTTTGATTACATTATTATATACTATATCTCGTTACGTGTAGATAATATGCGCCATTAGAATCACAATCGATCGGTAATAATTGTTTAAATATTAAAAATGTCCAAATACTCGGAAAGGTTTGGGTCGAGAATTTTTTGTTATCTCGGATCGGATACCCATAATTTCGATTAGTAGCACATCCCTATTATATATGTATTACTTATGTATAGCGTTGCATAATGCAATACTTTATTATATACCCCCTTTTAATTCTTTCGTATTATTATATTTTAACATAACTATTAAATAATCTTTTTACGTAAATTATCTTTTTACGTTCCAATGTCTGTCACTAAACATTTATAATTTAAAAAAACATATCAATCATATGAAAATGAATAATAAAATGTAAGTTTACAAAAAGAATAACAAGAACAATAAAGAAAAAGTTTTATGTTGAATAAAGCAATAATTCTATGTATTAGTAAAAATCGATGTGTATATTCATGCTATACTCTTCACCCTCTAACATTTATATAGTAAATATATTAAATTATTACAGAAAAATAAAAACAATTAAACATACTTAAAATATCATCCAATTATTATTGTTTCAATTTGTAAACAATATACAAATTAAAAATTTCTCTAGTCTTGCTTCGTTAAGAAATGTGAATTAAGAAATGTGTTTCATCAATGAAAGTGACCTATTATATTTTTTTCTGAGATACTTTAAAATATTCTTTTCTTAAATTATTTAAAAACTAATTTATTTTTTTATGACATACAACAACAAAAAGTATATTTAATTTCGAAAAATAATTCTTTTATGTTATTGTACAATATTGGTGACAAAATGATAATGTATACGTATGACAAAATATGTCCTTTTGATATCTGAAAAGACTTAAGACCATTTTTTACGATTACTGATCGTGTTGATGACAGAGTTAAAGGAAATAGATAAGAAATTATGGTAAATAAAGTAGTCTTCAATTTTTGTTTTATGTACTTTTAATAGATAATTATAAATAAAAATTACTCCCTCATCATTTTTTCCTTTTGCCTTGCGAGCTTCTTCTTACTCAATTTTTTCTTCGAAGGTTCTTCTTCTGTAGCCTTCGAAACAATATCCTCCTTTTCAGTTAATATAACCTCTATATGAGAGGGTGAACTCATGTACGCTATAAAAAATTATTAGATACGTAATATTAATAATAAATACAATGAATAATTTTTTTCAAAGAAATTAAAAAACAAAAAATGAAGAAATATAATGAATGTACTTACGATTAATACGACCATGGGCTCTGTAAGTTCTCCTACGTAAGCAAGATGCATGATTGACCTGAATGTGATCGATGACAAGGCGTTCCACATCCAATCCTCTGTAATCTGCATTACTCTCAGCATTTTTTAAAAGTTGCAACAAGAATTCTGCAGATTTCTTGGGCCAACGTCCTAAAAACATGAACAGTAAGTAAATATAATCAAATCTTTTATAATGCATTACATTATTTGTATGCATATTTATAAAAAAAAAAAATGTTATCATTTTCAATAACACATTTTTATTATTCTTAAAAATTTACCTTGAGTTGTGCCGAACTGTTTAGCTTGAGCACATCGGCCCACTCCACCATTAAATCTTCGGAAAGGTACACACTCTTTGTGTTCAATCACGTTTTTCAAATATTTTTGTGCTCTACGAAGAGCCATGTTTTTAATAGCGCGTGCTGTTTCATGAGTGTTCTACAAAAAAAACGACATCATCATCGAATACATAATGTATAACGACATACGTTCATATGTAAACATGTGTCTTTAAAAATATAATTATATTTACTTTGAAATGCACACGAAGATTGGAACCTCGTGCCTTGCACGATTTCGTAGCATTTAGTGGCTCGTAAGAATAACGACCCATTATGTTCTGAAATCACAAAAAAATTAGTATAAAAATTGTAATAATACTAAATCGACATTTTTCTTTAGAGGATAGGTGTCGCACAATCGCAATATGACGGTACTTGACAGTAAATATTTCACCATTTTAAGCGATCGATATGAAATATTTACTAGAAAAAATATATAATTCGATGTTTTATACATAATAAATTAATATTTGTTTAACCAATAATAGGATAAAACAATAGATGCGAATGGATTCTATAAACATTACATATTATTCCATACATACCTCCTAACAGCACGACCGTTAAGGAAAGAACGTCTCACGAACGATCACTAACTTCCTGTACGTAACAGTGTTGCCAACTCACAGTAACTTTATTTTAAATAACATAGACAATAATTTAAAAATTTAATTTATTTCGAAATTATTTATTTATATTTTGTGAAATTAAAGAAGTTTTTTTAAATTAAAAAAAAAATGTATAATCTTTAATTATTAATCCAAACTATATTATATATTTCAAATCATTCATGCCGGATATTTAAAATGATAAATATTGATATTTTAGTGATAGCAATTGAATGTCATGTTTTAAATGTTCGGTCAAACTTTGAAAATAGAAATCTCGTTATTCTGAATGCGATCGTCAAATATACCTAGCAACATATTATATTCGTAAGTAAAATTTAATAGTAATATGTAATATATAGTAAACTAATATCAAATATAATAAATAAAATTTTTATTTCTCAGCTCTTTCGATAAAATCGAAGTTTATTGAATGATAGATACGCTCCTGAAAGCACAATAGTTTATGGCCACGAGTCGAGTTGAAAAGTTATAAGAGCTTTGTTTTTATTTTCGCGTTAAAGTAAGAAACGTGAATACAATTAATAAGGAAAGAAAAGGCATATTAATATTTATTTTCTTCAATGAAAAATAAATCGGTTCATATACGTATCAAATATAATATGTATGTAAGATATAATTTATCAAACTATTGACTCTTCAAGTATAGTCTATGATTTTCGGAATAGCTAACTGTATGCGTTCTATCGTTCAACGTTAACTTCGCGGCTCCCTGAAAAGAGTCGGATAACCTGTATTTCTTTTTTAATGAAATATCTCGAAAAAGAATGTATATTACGAATGTTTGTTTTTTGATTTTCTACCATCGGTGTTGGATTTAAAAAAAAAAATAATAATAAAATAAAATAAAAATAAATCAGAAAGATAATTCTCTCTTCAAATAAATATATATATATATGTATATATATATATATGTCTTGAGACAGAGTTGTGAGATTGACAGATCAAAGAAAATAACGATTTTTTTCACGAACATTTAAATACAACTTTGTAATAACTTAGAAATGCGAGTGTTGTTATAAAAGTTGTACAAGTTGTATAAATTGTAAGGAATAAAAAGAAAATAAATAAATAAATAAATAAATAAAAAAGAAGTGAAAGAAGAAAACGTACAAAGAAAAGGATAAAGAAAATTTTTTGTGTACAGAACCTACGCCTGTAAGAAATATTTTTATATAAGTGAAATAATCTCTATATTAATTCTCTGTGGAAAAGTTTATATTATATTTTTTTATAAATCCACACGCGCATTAAACATATACATATATTTCATATAACTCAGAATTGATTTGTTGCGTTGGTGATACTTCTTCACATAACAAATGTCAAAAAACAAATTAAACTTGACATTACCACCTGGCTCGATTGAACCGGTTCCAGCTGTATCCCCATCACCACCAGTTCCACCACTGCCTACATATTCAGAACCACCCGTTATACCAGAGTAAGCATAATGTTTTTCTTTCAATAATTAATTATTTTTTATTTTCTAATCAAACCTAGTATTCTATTAAACTGTTATTTTATTTTTTATGTCTTGGTTAGCGGTGTAATGGGCAAGATGAGTATCGATGCTATTCAAGAAAGATTAGAAGAGTTGGAGATGGATGAGGAGCAAAGAAAGAGATTAGAAAGTTTCTTAGGACAAAAAGAGAAAGTAGGAGAATTATGTGATGATGATTTTGAAAAACTTGGTGAATTAGGTGCTGGCAATGGTGGAGTTGTTATGAAAGTTAGACATAAAAAGTATGGGCTTATTATGGCAAGAAAGGTATGATCATTTGCAAATTTTATATATATATATATATACTTATAGAAAAATATTTTAACACATGTTGTTAATATTATTCTAGTTGATTCATTTGGAAGTAAAACCAGCTATTAAAAAGCAAATCATAAGGGAATTAAAAGTATTACATGAATGTAATTTTGCTCACATAGTTGGATTCTATGGTGCTTTTTACAGGTTTGTGTATTCATTCAAATATATAACTTAAAATTAAAGTTTACCTCAAAATAATTATATATTATATGTATTGTTGTGATTTTTTACAGTGATGGTGAGATTAGTATATGCATGGAATACATGGATGGAGGATCATTAGATTTGATATTAAAAAAAGCTGGTAGAATTCCAGAACCTATTTTAGGCACTATTACATCTGCTGTGAGTAATATCTTAATATTATTAATATCCAGACATATTAGTTTTTCTAGCATAAATAATTTATTATTAATTTTTAAAAAATTATAATCAACAATATAATGACAAATAGCATTATACTATACTTAAATAACTAGAACTTAAATCTTTACTAATATTAACTACATATGTACTACTTATCCTAAGTAAAAAATTAATAATACGTTTCTCGTTCAATAAGGCATCCTGGAAACAAACGAATACAAAGTCTTCTGAATTCATCATAAACCCAAAGAAATATTGCAAGTGGTAGGCAAGGCCAATACCAATAAAGATCTAAGGGCATAGTCTTAAATATTTTTTCTGTTCCTGGTATATATAGAAGCATTCCTGTTAATATAATTTCAAATACAAAAGAAAAGTTTAAAAACCAATTGTCCATTCCTTGTTGAAAAATAGAATTACGTCTTGTTTTACACATTACTAAGTCTACCATTTGTGTTATAACAAGAGAAAGAAAATATCCAGTGCGTGCTTCGTTGAGTAAATCCATTCTAGCCTTATAAGTCCACGTTTGTCCATACGAATCTTCAAGATCATTGATTGCTTTGTTTTCCCAATCGTATCTTAATCCTAACAGATGATATGGCAAAAATCCATTCAGCATTAAAATCATAAAATAAGTATAGAAACCTGCTGCAGCTTGGGTCATTCCAATTTGACCATAAGTAATAGATATTAAACGTTTATTAACTAATCTATCATATTGAGGATTTCTAGGTGCTCGTTGCATAATATCTAATTCTGGTTTTTCATAAGCTAGCGATATAGCAGGAATCAAATCGGTTCCAACATCGATACAGAGTACCATTTCAATAATAAATGGTAAAGGAATTGCAAACATAAGACTGGCTAACATTGGTAACATTTCGGGTACACTGGACGTTAATGTATAAGCAATGGATTTTTTTAAATTATCAAATATCAATCTACCTTCTTCTACTCCCGTAACGATAGACGCAAAGTTATCATCCATCAGTATCATATCTGCAGCATTTTTAGCTACATCCGATCCTGTGATTCCCATAGCTACTCCTATATCGGCTTTTCTTAGGGCAGGTGCATCGTTGACACCATCCCCAGTAACAGCTACAATTTCTCCCAATCTTTGACAACTTTCTACTATCATCAACTTTTGCTGTGGTGTAGTGCGAGCAAAAACAATCTCTTCATAATTCTTAATAATATTATCCAGATCATCGACGTCCATACTTCTTAATTCTGTACCTGTTAGGATTATAGCATCGGTCACAATATCAGGTACAACTGTGAAAGATGGTTGATTATCATTCAGCAAGGTTATTTCATATTTAGTTTCGTGTCCTTCACTTATAATACCAACTTTTCTAGCAATAGCCATTGCTGTTACTGGATGATCACCAGTTATCATGATCACTTTTATGCCAGCTGTACGACATTTTTGGACTGCTTCTGGTACTCCTGGTCTAGGTGGATCTATCAAACTGATTAGACCAACAAATCTGTAACCTTTCATTGGAAAGTTATATTTGTTCTGAGAGTTTGTATTAAATTGATAATTAGGGCCGTATATATTCCCAGGTAACACAAGATCGCTATAAGCTAATACTCGTTCACCTAAATATGCTAATTCAGTACAGGCATGTTTTATTGCTTGTATATCAGAAACTTCCATGTGTTTTGTTTGACCATCCATAGTCAGTATTGTGGTACAATAATTCAAAATTATTTCTGGAGCACCTTTCATAATCAGTATATATGAATTAACATTACGGTGTATGGACAATTGATATTTAAGAGTAGAATTAAAAGGAATTTCAGCTACTTTCGGATATTTCTGACGATATATTTCTGTAGAATGTATGTGTTCACAGAAACGAAGTATACCAGTTTCTGATGCATCGCCTATAACATTACGTTGTTCAATTGGTACCACAAGTGTACTTTCTGCAGTGAATTCAGCACGTAAACAAAGAGTGGCATCTCTCAAGACATAATTGAAAGCAGGTTTCTCCATCAATATATCTTTTTCTGCACCGATCTTTTCTGTCTGTGAGAAAGAAAATCTATTATATCCAAACCATATATGTGAAACTGACATCCTATTTTGAGTGAGAGTTCCTGTTTTATCGGAACAGATTGTCGAAGTAGAACCAAGAGTTTCTACACCTTCCAAATTCTTTACCAGACAATTCTTATTAGCCATTTTTGTAGCAGTTAAGGTCAAACAAGTGGTCACTGTTATCAGCAAGACTTCCGGCACGTTGGCGATAATGATACCAAGTAAATATGTGAAGGCTTTGATTACATCGGGTTCTAACATGAGAGAAAGTCCAAAAAAAATTAAACCAAAAATGATAGCAACCACTGTGATAATATGAACGAAATGTTTGATCTCTTTAGCGATCGGTGTTTCAGTCTTTTTTACATAAGATGTTAATCCTGCTAATCTACCAATCATCGTGTTGTCTCCGACAGCAATAACTATACCTGTCCCATCTCCAGCAACGGCAAATGAAGAGAAAAAGGCAACGTTCGAAGATTCCAAAGGACTTAGATCTGTTGGATAGTCCGTACGAATAACTGGTTCGTTTTCACCAGTAATACTCGAGTTTTCAACTCTCAGTCCATTACATTTAATTATCCTAATATCAGCAGGTATTTTATCTCCAAGTCTGATTTCTACCAAATCACCAAGTACTAATTCTTCGGTACCAAGACGTATTTTATTTCCGTCTCTTATTGCTGTCGCAAAAGTAGGTACCATCTTCTTAAACGATTCCATAACTTTCGTATTCTTGCTTTCTTGTATATAAGCAAATATACCAGATATGAGACATATCACAACAATTATAACACCCAACCATTCGATGCCAGTTCGTTCTTCTTTCATTAAATAACTGATAAAAACTAGTAAGAAACATAGAAACGCGCAAATCCACAACAAGCTTGCGAAACCACTGAACATGCATAGTAAAAATTTGATAAATTCAGATGTTTCCTTTGGAGGAGACAACACATTTGGTCCATTTTTCTTAAGTAATCGTGTAGCCTCTTTCTCTGTAAGACCATTCACTAGATCTGTATTTAATTTTGCGCATAATTCTTCCAAAGGAATTGTATGATCTGTAGTAATTAAATCACTACGAAGAGCTTCAATTTCTGTTTTAGTTAGTCTTTTTTTTATGGACTGTGAAAAAGAATTATTCAAATTTGACCGAAGATTTTTTACAGACATTCCTTGTGTCTGTGTCATATTGTTTCAATGATTTGTTTAATGATATTTTCTATAATAATAACTAAGGTTTAATTTGTTGATACTATTTTTACAGCTCAGCTCACTTCACTCGTGTTTGTATTATCTTTTGTGTATATTATATATACACACACACACACATATATATATATGTGTGTATTCTTTTTTCTTTTATGATTCTACAGGGTACATCTAAAAAAAATTGATATTTTCTTTTTTTTTATTCTCAGGTACTGAAAGGTCTAAGTTATTTGCGCGACAAGCACGCTATCATGCATCGCGACGTTAAACCAAGCAATATTCTTGTAAATAGTGCAGGAGAAATAAAGATTTGTGATTTTGGTGTCTCTGGTCAATTAATAGATTCCATGGCTAATTCGTTCGTTGGTACCAGGAGTTATATGTCGGTAAATATTTCTAATCAAAAATATCTGTCTTTCATGTCATTTCTAAAGAATATTTTATATGTTAATTATATAATCACATTTTCAGCCAGAAAGATTACAAGGTACTCATTATTCCGTGCAAAGTGATATTTGGTCGTTAGGTTTGTCACTCGTTGAAATGGCTATCGGTATGTATCCCATTCCACCACCTGATGAAAAAACTTTGGCATCGATATTTGGCACACAAACAGGAAGTCAATCTTCAACAGAGACTGCTGCGACAAATAGCGAACCAACACCTGCTCAACAGTCACCTGGACATAGTTGGTATCCAAATAAGTGGCATGATTAACCCTTTGAGTGCTATGGACGTATATATGCGTTTAGCGAAAGCAGTCGGTATGGAGAATATGGGCGCATATATGTGTTTATAAATTTTTTCAACTTCTCCCGCACTTGAGATATTATCAGCGTATGAGACGTATATATGTATGTTCCTTAGGAACAACATTGTCGGTTTGTGTATTAATGATTGTTTCAAAATAATTTAAAATTAATATTTAATGTTTGAAAATAATTTTCTTAAATTATTTAAATAGTTGTGCCTTGTGTATTTAATCGACAAAGTTAACATTTACGACAAAATATATTCCGTCTTTAGCAATCGAAAGCGAGCTAAGCGCGCGCCGTCCACGTGGATTGGTTGCATCGGATATATTAAGCGCTCAAAAGGTTAAATCATTTATTCTATATCATAATGCGATAATAATAATAATATTTATGGTCTATAGGCGCAGGTAGCCCAAGACCTATGGCAATATTTGAGTTATTAGATTATATCGTCAATGAACCACCACCAAAACTGCCAGCTGGCTTTTTCAGTGAAGCATTCACAGATTTTGTTGATCGTTGCTTGAAGAAAAATCCATCGGAGAGAGCAGACTTAAAGACACTAATGGTATCAAATGATTTTCAATAATAAACTTAACAATTTTACTTTTAAAAGATTTTTGTAATTTATACTATAATAATTTTAGAATCACGAATGGATAAAAACGGCTGAGTCGGAGAACGTTGACATTGCTGGTTGGGTATGCCGTACGATGGATCTTCAACCAACCACTCCAACTCGTTTAGCGAACGTACAATCCTGAATAAATGTAACTCTTACATACTTGACTACTTATATACGCGTTCAGTACTCCTAAGTCAGTTATTATTTTCCTTTCGTTCGATTGTATCAGGCAGTGGCGTTATTTTTCTTTTTATTATTTTTACTATTATTTTTTCTTTTATATGTTTCTTAGCCTATCTCACTGCTTATTGTTTTAAACAATCAAATGATAAATAAGATTTTGATGAGGCCAAAAGATTATTTATACTTAAGAACGAAGTATAAACTCTATTTATGGCTATAAAATACTCAACAACTATGATAAATCCATGTTCAGAATCGCCATTAATCGTATTGAAAGATATTAATGAAACGATTCAATTGAAAAGAAAAAAAAGAAATATGATTTAAACGAAAGATCATATATGTTTGTACATAGAGAGAATAATGTATAGAGAAAACAAATTCTTATTAACAATCATTATTATATAAAAATAATTCATCCCATTTAACGCCACTGTTCTTATATTCGAATGATTAGTTTTAATCTCTAAAAAAAAAAGTTAGGATTATTCTTATTATTATTTTTGGAAAGTATGTAAGATATATATAAACAGTTTATACGATATAAGTTTCAAATTACACCGATCGATATAGAATGTGTTCCCTGTGATGATATTAGGATACATGAATATGAGCATCAGGTGTATGAAAGAAACGATTCGAAGAATATTAGCTAGGTCAAGTTATTCATAGAAAATTTGTACCTGACATCCTTAGAATGTTATTTACATACTAATACACAGATACAAACACACATACAAACATATATCATTGAAAAGACTTTGTTCCGTCGCTCATTGCAGTTTCATATAGTTCTTTTATATCATATACATACATATATATGTATATATAACGAGGCTACGATAAGAGTATATACTCACGTTGTAGACATTATCAAAAAAAAATCGATTTTGAAAAATATCTTCCAAATGAGATAAATAATTTATACGCTCAAAGTTAATACATTAATAATAAAAATTATTTCCTTTCGTGTATATGATTGATCTAAATTATTAAGTCGCAATATGGAAATCTCTTATATAAATAAATGTGGCCTCGAATGTAAAATGTCGAAAGATACAAGTGTTAGTGTGATCTTAAAATATGTCCATGTGTTCACACGAAATATATATACATATATATACATATATATATATATATACATATATATAATACATATATATAATACATAAATATATACATATATATATATATACATATATATAATACATATATATAATAAATATATACATATATATATATATATATATACTTATAAATGCATTTGTCGTATAATTATGCAACAAGTTTCTCCTATGTAATTTCAATAAATTACATTCGATAAACTATCTTCGTCGCTTAATGATTAGCTTTATATTCATGGACATTTAAACATTTAGATACTAGTATCTCTATTGTCACACTGTATACTAAATGTTATATTTCAAGCCATGTGTATACATACAGCTATGTGTATACATATACACATACAGCTATATGTGTATATATATAACTTTTGTGAGTATTATACGGTTAAATGTATTGTCATCGGATCCTTAAATTTTATATATATATATATATATAAAATATTTAAGAGAGAAAGAACAGGGATCTTGATCAATATTATGTGTACCAAGACAAATTGCACTTTATATGATAAAAGCAAACGCAATTGGTCTATGTTACACATACACATACATAGATGGTGTATATGAATATATGAGATAATGTATGTAATTCTATTAAAAACGATCGTACCTAACAATCTTTCTCTCTCTTTCTCTCTCTCTTTCTCTCTCTCTCTCTCTCTCTCTCTCTTTTTCTCTCTTTCTCTCTCTCTTTTTCTCTCTCTTTCTCTCTTTTTTTTTTCTCTCTCTCCGCTTGTCTGAAAGACGATTTTCATAGATCCAACTGCAGGTATAGGCAGTATCAGCCTATTCCGATTTGGCTTAAAATATATCGGAGTGTATTACAATAAGAATGTTTACAAAACATGATGAACGTATATATTTCGTTAATATGAATAAAAGCGTAAGACGCAAGTCCCCTCCAAGAACTGAAATGTTTCTTAATATGTTTATATATAATAATAATGATAATGATAATCGCGTAATGCTGGTTAGCGTGGCATATGTTTAATAATAAATTAATAATAAATAAATAAATAAAAGTAATATAAGCGAATATTGTTTGGCTGTTAAAATATCAGGTTGCAAGATGTATCATATGTCGATAGAAACATTAGTGATATTAGTTTCAAGGTGCGCAGTGTGTATTTTCAATTTAAATATATAGGATCTTTTATTATGGCTCGTATTATTATAATATGTGCAAATTCTTCGTTGCAAAAAGATGTGGATAATTGCAGTTATATTAATTATCTAAATGTTATAATCACACTAAAGAAAAAATAAAAAAATATATATATAAAAAAGTAAAAATAAATTTATTCTCTACCACAGATTTGTGTTTCACAGTGAAATTTCAAAGCATTGTTAAAATAATTTCATTTATTTTTTGTATATAGCCGATATATTATAACGGTCGATTATTTTCGATTTAATCGACTGACTTCTGTAAATAAGGCTGTTCATTAACTTTTGCTCGAAGACGTATATGATTTCAGGGACAGTTATATGGACAAAATATGAACAACAAAAATAGACAAGAAAGATTATCACAATTATGCGACCAATCGCATCGGTGTACAAATTTGTTTAGATTATACAATTTTTTTATAATAATAAAAATAGTACACTATTTTATAACTAACCATACGCAAGAAAAAATCATTGGCCAAATTTTACTTGTTTAAAGATAAATTACCAAAAAATTGTTTCTTAATTGTACAAATTATAAATATATATTTTGTTTCTAGTTAAACTTATACATAGCTAAAGCTTATTTAAATAGCCATTTACTCACCCTGTAGAACTTGCGTTATATAATTTAGATATAAATATATATATTTCGATATATTGCAAAATATTACCTGTCCTGGTCTCACCACGTGAAGGTTGCTATGTCTGTAGACCCAATGATTAAACTGTGACTCTACTCGAAAATCCGCGGTACCGTGGTGACATGACCTTACCGAGAATTCAAATTCCCAACGCTATCTGAAGATGTTCTCCCTATCCTATCCGTACGCGTTTAAATTAGGGCCCCCGACGATATATCGTATATGCGCCGATAGTCCTCACCTTTGCAGATAAATTGTTCCCTCGATAATCTAGCTTAAAGAGAAGAAGAGAAAAAATAGAAATTTGGAACGCGTACACACATGTGAAATCGATGGAACTGCGAACAAAAAATGGACATCTCGCAGATCTCTCCACTCGAGTAAAATGAAAGCAACAAAATCGAGTACGATATTTCCTTAATGAAGAAAACCAACTCAAATGCCATACCCAAAAGTACCATCCAAGAACTTTACACAATATTAAGAGAAAGCAGTCTATCCAAAGACCCACACCAAAGGAGAAGAGAATTCATCCCTCAGTTATCCATCCCTCGATGATTTAGCTTCAAAAGAAGAAGAAAGAGAAGGAGAGATAGAGAGAGAGACAGAGACAGAGAGAGAAGAAAATGAGAAAAAGAAAAGAAAGAAATTAGTGGTGAAAGAGAAGAAAGAAAAGAATAATGAGAGAAGAAAATTAATAGGAAATAGAAGAAGATTAGTAGAAAAAGAAAAAAGATGAGGAGAAAGAGGAAGATGATTAATAAAGAAAGAGTAGAAGAGAAAGGGAAGTAGAAAAAAAAAGAAACCTAGAACGTGTGCGCATGTGAGAACTCAGAACAAGGAATGGATATCTCGAAAAACGTTCAAAAATCAAAATCGAGCTCGATATTCCCTGATAAAATATGAAGACTTGCCTAAGAACCCTCCCTTAAGGATTTCACCTTAGAGAAACTAAAATAATTAATATAGAATAATTATTTAAACTATTATATGGCTATCCGTTTTAATAAATAAAGACGACTATTTATTACTGAATATAGATAGAAGATGTAAGAAGCAATGTAAAGTGTAAATACTTCAATGTTTAGTCAGAATTAAAGTGAAAAGATTTTGGAAATGTTCCGAAATATACAGCTATTGTTAGTAAAATAATCTTATTTAATAATTATTCCCTCCCGAGTTCAGTGATTTATTTTTGTCGAAAGATAAAAATTGAATTTACTTTATATTTATTGGGTCTTACGATCCTTACAACGTTGCTAAAAATGTCCTATTATTTAAATGATAATAAAATAATTTGATTTTCAAATTGTATATTATGCTAAACTATATGTATAATTTAAATTTTTAATCAAAAAGAACCATCGTATATTTCACGAAATCGAAAGGTTTTATATTCTTCCGTGTAAGAATATAACTTGTATGTTTTCTATTTATTATAAAATTCGATTTAAATTATTTTTGTTTACTCTATTGTAATAGAAAACGATTACAAATTGATTAAAAGAACGAATGCAAAAAAACTAAGCCAATAATTGTCAAAATCCGTAAAAAGTTCGTTTTTTTTTTTTTTTTTTTTTTTTTTTTTTTTTTTTTTTTTTTTAATATTAGATGAAGCCAACATCTGCGACGTCAAAATTCAAATCTAATTAAATAATAAATTAAAATTATTTTATGTTTAATATGTGTTCCAAGTCATGTAATGTTTAAGCAAATGTATTGTTTAAGTATTAATTTATTATATACCGTATATATTTATATATTGTTTAAATAATTATAAAATAATCGAAAGTAAAAGTATTCAAGCTTAGCCTATATGAAAATAAAGAATTTCGACGTTTACTTGTCGAAATGCAAAAGAAAACTAATTCGAAAGCTAAAGTCAGTAAAAAGTTCATTTTTTTTGACTTCACACAAAATTTACGAGCTATTGAACATAAAGCTTTTTTATTAATTCAAGAAAATCGTCTCCTTGTTTAAATCTTCATCTTTAAAACGAATCAAAATTACGCCTGGATTCATTGTTGGCTTAAACAATTAAAAAACCAAAAGTGATGAATAGTATTAAGTTATTCTTTTATTTATATAGATTTATTTTAATAGATATTACACAGTATATTAAATTTCATATAACAAATAATCTTTTTTTTTCTTTTCTTTTTACAAACAATACACAAGTTATGTACTAATACTGTTCTTGTAAAAAACACTTTTTTTCTTTTTTCTTTTTTCTTTTTTTTTTCAATTCTTGTACAAATACTATAAACGCATATAAATCAGTAAAGAAGGTTGTCAGTTTATTGGCGTTGATTAAGGATTATTAAACAATGACCCGCTTTATTCATTATATCTTCACACGTGTGTGGTCCTTTTTTT